CTATATATATATATATATATATATATATATATATATATATATATATATATATATATATATTGCCTGTTAAAAGAGATTGAAACGTGCAACACTTGGAATTAAATAAAATTATGGCAAGAAAACAGCAAGGAAGGAAGGAAGGAAGAAAAAAAGGAAAAAATATTGATAAAAAACGGATAAGAATTATCAATGGATAATTTGAATATTATTTAAGGATAAATAATTAAACTAAAAAAATGAGGATAATTAAATAAAAATTAAAAAACTGAAATTATTTTTAAAATGATTCAAAAAATGCATGCTATTCAAGGATTGGATAGGCAATAATTAAATTTACAGAGTTCATTTTTTCTTATTTATTTAAATTTTGAACTTTGAAAAAACGATTAAATTAAAATTTTTGAAAGTTAGTGGAAAGTTAAAGGATTGTGAGGGGTGAAACGGCAGAATGAGAAGAACGAAATTATGGGTAAATTGTAAGGTATATTGGGAATTCATCAATTTTTTCTTTTTGTTTTTTTCAATATGAAACCTCTTTTTCGTCATCCGTTAAAAATAATGTATGATGATGAGACATAAGCAGAAGTGTGGCTCTTTGCCGTTTACGTTTGGCCAACTGAAATTTTGTTTGCATTTTTTTTCCGCAAATTTAATGATTGATTATTTCGATAAAATTGATTCATTTTTTTCTGGGGTGAGGAGTATAATATTAAGTTATAATTTAAAAATTTTATCGACTTTATTTCGTCGTTTCAATAGCAACTAAAAAAGCTTAATTAATTAATATTTAATAATAGAGACTATTGTAATTTTCAAAAATTTAATAAATTCAATTCTAAAATGTTATCATCTCCAAATGATTACTGTACTTATAATGATATCATTCCATATTTTATGCATTATCAAAATAAATTTTTGCTATTGATAAATGTTTGTTAAATTAATCGTAAACTGATATCTTTACAAGAGCATAATTAATTCGTAAAATAATAATTAATATTATCAGTTTATGAATATTATTTTAGCATTAAACAATGCAAATATATTATTTATTGAAAAAAAGAATGAAAGAGAAAGAGAAACATACTAATAAGTCTTTAATTACTGTACTTAAATAAGGGTCAAGGTATTATTAAAAAAGTTTTACCTCAACTCCTGATTTCTTGGCTCGATAATTTTCAAGAATTAATAAGCCTGTGTAGAGTTTTCCAACGGTTAATTTTTGACAGCATAATTCTGAAATTACAGTAGCATGAGGAATATATGAATAATAAAGCTATTTAGAAAAGATAAATGACGGAATTAATCTTTAATCAATCTTGACCTTTCTTTGAGCTAATACAGAAATTAAAATACTAACATTTTTAAAATTTCGATTAGAAAATATTATCAGAATAACGTATGCAAGCATATTGCTTGATTCTTAAGAAAAATCTTTAAAATTTCAAAATTTTTGCCGAAAATCATCCATTATCCTGATAATTAGTTAAATATTATCATTCTAAACAACTTCTATTTTAAGATCTTTTAGAGAAAGAGAATCATTACATTTCAAACTGAATATATCAAGTCAATTATTAAATCTTATAAAACGTGAAAATCTTCAGGAAATATGAAACTCCAAAAGATGCGAATCTTATATTTACGTGAAAGCCTTATTCAACTTTCACATAAAAGCAAGATTTGCATCCTTTGAACCTTTATATTCCGGATAATATGCTGAAAATATTTCGAGAATAATGACCTTTATTTGGTGGTACTACCAGATCTATCATATTTTTTTTTGCTTTCAACGGCCATATTTTCCGCAGAGTTTGACGTAATTCCTCATCTGCTTCATCCATTTCTTCGACTAAAACAGTCTCAGTTAAATTTATAAATGGATTTTAAAATTGTTAACTTTATATCTTTCCTAGCATTTCCTCAGTGTTTTTTTTACAATAAAATAAACTTTAGGATATTTTCCCGGTAAATGGAAGTTTTAATTTAAGATAGAAGAATCGACTAAATGACTATTGTATTACTAGTAAAATTGTTTTCATCAAACAATCAATTTCAAATTGTATGGTACCGTAATATCTTTGAAAGTTTGGGAAAGTATTAAGCGAAATGTGTAACAGTAATCTCTTAAAATAAACCATAATATATTAAATACTATATTAATCAATACTATATTTCAAAACATTGTATATCTGTGAAAATTTCATCAATTTTTAACAATAACATACCGGGCCTCATTTTAATGCTTAGAGATTCTCGTATCAAAGCAAATAATGTTGTTGTAAAATGTACAGTACCATCATCTGCTACTGGCATATTCATTCGTATCAAATGTTTGTAAGCTAAACGATACGGACATTTACGACCAAATCCAACCGGTGGTGTAATATTACGTAACATCTCGTACATATCCGTATAATGAATTCGTCCGCTAAAAAAATGATTCTTTTCTTTTTTTAATCGAAAAATAAATAAAAAACTTCTGGTAACATTATATTTATGCAAATTTACTAATTTTTAATTATTGAAATTATTTGATAATATTTAACTGCTTCTTATGTGAAGTGTCAATTGTTTGGATCTATCATATCATCTAGCATTTCCAGCTTATCAGATATCCAAATCATTTCATATCTTTGAATATCATTATATTCCTTTCTTTATATGCATGAGTTGAATTAACTTTTCAAAACCATATATTAAGGATCATAATTTTAGGCCAAATAATTATCCATTTGTTAAGAGATTTGGAGGTTTTGTTATTTGCTTATGATATGACTCATAATATTGGTTCATGATATGATTAAAATTAACTAACGTAGCAGCTGGATCATAATCAGCCCAAACTCGAACAAATTCATCCAAATGATGAGGTCCAAGAATTGAGCTATCACGAGTTAAATAATCAAAATTATCCATTATTACAGCAACGAATAAATTTAACATCTAAAAAGAAAAAAAAAAGAAAAGCTATAAATCTTTGAAAAAAAAGAGCATTATGAAGGAAAATTATGATTTTTTAATTCAGTCATTTAATTTCGAAATAAATTATAAATTCTTTTGAACTCATACACAAAATCCTTTGCTAATCTTATTAAAGCTACTTGTATCACCATCGAAATTCACTTATCAGTAATATCACATTCGCCTAGCATTATCAGAGAACGTAACAAAAATAATTTTGTTGCATCTAATAAATGTAAATAAACTTTTTTATGTAAATTTAAATTAAAAAAAAACATAAAAAATCATGATACCAAAAATGAAGATAGAAAGACAAATGTTGTGAAATATACGTAAGACATTTGAGTACCACAAGTTGGTCCTTTAGCTAAATTAATTTCAAATGAATTCGGTTTCGCGCAATACTTCCCTGCTGTACATGCCATCATTATATCCTGCCATGCTTCACCTGTTGAACACCTATAAAGCATCAAATAATCTATTATCGATCCGTTCATTTTTAAATATTTCTAATAATTTGTTTTTTTTTAATTTTCAGAACATAATTTTAGATTCCGGAATGATTTACGGTACACTAAATTAAAGATTATGTCAGTTATTTATTCCATAAACATAAGAATTCAACTTTCCTTTCTCCTTCACCTCTTTTCCTTTTCAGTAGGATTAATGAATAAATTTTTGAAAAGTAAAATAACAAAACAAAAAAAAAGACCAACTTGTAAATTAATTAAGAATTAAATCGCAAAAGTAGATGCAACTAGAGTATATAAGTTAAAATTGGAAACAAATTTGAAATGAACAAGCAATGGTTAATTTGCGGATAAGTAAAAAAGGTTAACTTACAGATAGGTAAAAAGGTCAACTTGTAAATGAGTAAATAAATTAATAAATAAATTGTAAACAACACTATCAAGCAATAAAATAAGCAATAAAAAGCATACCGAAAAAGAAGTATAATAGAATTAAAGAATGATTGGAAATTATTATGTCTATTATATTCGGTAGTTGCATCCAACCAAATATTACCGAATACCTTAATATAAATTGAAATGTTAAAGTCAATTATGGCACGGAAAAATTAGACTACATTATATATGTTATTGTATCAGGAAAATTGAAGCATTGCGTTATTGTCTCAGTAAATTTGAAACAATATGTTATTGTTTCAGTAAAATTGAAACATTATGCCACTGCATAACACATATAATACTGTATGAGATAATTATGCTATTGTATAACACAATGTTGAATTTTGGAAAAAATTCTAAAGTTTTAAAATAAGAAAAATTAAATATAATTCAAATATTTCATTTAAATAAATTTAAGAAAAGAAATTCAGCAAAAATAATAATACAAAAAAAAAAATGCATTTCGAATTAAGCATAAAAAAAAGCGTTATCTTACATTCCAATGAAAATGGTTATATAATTTAAAAATATGACCAACTGAATGAATAATTAAAGAGATAATTAGTAAATTGGAAATTCATCAACAACTGGTAACATATTAATCAATTAGTTAATTAAACAATTATTCGAACAATCATTTAGTATGAATAACTTTGAGTAATTTGAAAAAGAATTGAAAAAATAGTTGTAGTATTGGATGGTATACCTGCATTCCAACAATAGCATAAATGAAAAAGAGCATTCCAATTAGCAAGCAAACATATGGTAAAGCCTGAAATTATTTTAGGATAGGACAAATAATACCCGAAAAAGGCCTAAAATTGTCTAAGAGTAGAAGAAATATAAAAAGTTAGCATACTTTAAAAGATTGAACAAATGTCCATAATAATATTCTTATAGTATATCCCTGTTGCAAAAGTCTAATTAGACGAGCAGCACGAAAAAGACGTAAAAATCCGAGTGACACAAAATGGCCACCAAATTCGGTGACCAATGCATCAGTGATTGAACCAACAACGGTGATAAAATCGAAACGATTCCATCCATCACGAAAATAATTCTACAAATCATTTAGCAAAGTTGAAAAATGTGGAAAGCGAAATAACCTAAGCAATTGACATTAATTTCACAAAGTAAGTAAATAAAATAAGTTTAGCGGAAAAAAATTAATGACATTCATGTAAACTTCAGCATTTTATAACTTTTTATTGATAGTAGAAATTAATTTCAAAAGTAATACCAAATAAAGAAAATTATGCTATCACAAAGGAGTTTTACTCATTTAAAATTGCATAATGATCTTTTTAAAATAAAAATTTTTTTGTTTTTGAGAAATATAAAAATTTGGAAAAGTTTATTTCTGTTTGTTTAACTTTAACTTAGAAATATTATCAGTGAAAATTTGGAAAATAATAAAATGATCAAAAACTCATCAAATGTATACTTACTCGAACACCAAATGCTAATATTTTCAAAACTGATTCCACCGTAAATACCGCCGTTAATGCCGTATTAAAAAGACGAAGGATTTTTTCATAAAATTCAGAATTTCCATGAAACTATAAATGATTGATATTAAAAGAAATAAAAATTAAACAACAAAAATGAAAAATTAATGAAATAATTTTATATATTCTTATCAAATATTAAGTATTAATTGCTATTATTAAGGAAAAATTAAATTTTATGCATAAAACATTTTGACAAATAAATGTATTTAAATGAATAATAAATATTCAAAAAAAAAGTAAATTCAAGAAAAAAAACGAAAAAGAAATAAAATAGATATTAATTAGCGAAACTTTCATGTGATAGTAATAATTTTAGAAAGGATTCGAAGAAAATTTTCTCTATTTGTTTTGAGAAAGATTAAAGTAAAAGAAGAAACCTTCATCATTAGAATGATTGTATTACAACAAATCATTGCCATAATGAAATATTCAAATGGCGCAGAAGTAACAAGCCGCCAAATACGATATTTCATCGAATTTTTATCTTCTGGCATAAATAATGAACGTGGACGAGCATTTAGCGCAAAATCAATACATTGCTTCTAAATATTTTTTATAGCAAAAATTAAAATTTATTTAAAGTAAATTTACGAAATTTTTTTTTCAAAAGATTTTTTCCAAAATAGAAAAGTTAAATTATGAATTAATTAAAATTGACTAGCTTTTTTACGTTTGAAAAGTGCAATAAATGAAAAAATAAATTAAGTTGATAGTTATTGTTATAAGCTTGTTTTCATGATAATTATTATGTCAAATTAACAAATTAGCAGAAAATAGACAATTCTGTTTGATCACTGATTTAACTTATCATTGACAAATGATAAGTGCATGTATCAATGCAATACGTATAAAACGCTTGAACGTAAATGTAAATTAACGGAAATTATTTATCGATTACAAAATTATTTTCACATTACTTGAATAATTCTTATTTAATTAGTAAGACAAACAGCTTTAAAATATTACCGATAATTTAAACATATATAATTGTTATAGTTAAAATCTGAAAAAAATAAGATAAATTTCAGAAATTTTCAAATTTGATCACGATCAATTAAGTTTGTCAAAAGATAGAAAGTTTCACTTACTTGATTCTTATCTAGATCACCTTCTGAAAGTTCAGCTTCACCTTGTTCTTGAAATGTGATAATGATCAATGCAACGAAGATATTTACGAAGAAAAATGGAAATACGATGAAGAACATAACATAAAATAACGCCATCTGTAAAATTTTCACCACTTTTTTCGACATTTTTAATTTATGTCAATTAATTTACTTATTGATAAGAAATAAGACTTTGATAAGAACCATAAAATGGGTGAAACTGTCAGTTTAGATTGGAAAAGTATGCAAATAATTGGACAAATAAGCAAAGTGAATAGATAAATTGATTAAAAAATATTCAATCCATTGCAACTTAATAAATGAATTCATTTAACTAAATTATCACACAGACATGCAGACATGCATACATACAATTAAATTAACCAACAAATAAGTAATGTAGAATTAAGTAAAATAAGAATTAAATTAAATCAAAAATTAAAATTTAGAAGTTAAAAATCTAATTACTATTATCAGTACTTCATACGAATGTTTTTTTTTCCTTGTGTGATTTTGACTCTTGGAAAAGTTTAAATTTACACTGAATTCTACACAATTTAAGATAAAGACTTTTGACAAATATTTAAAATCCTTGAGAAGATATTCATATGGAAAATTCATTTTTCAATTCAATTCTAAGTATATCTAATATTAATCTAATTTAATCTCTCATCTAAGCAAGCATAATTTAAGCATAATTTTACCTCAACCCGATAAAACGGCAACGGTCCTTCATCTTCTTCAGTAGTATCCATTGAATTTTGTCGAATACTTGGCCAACCTTCACCTGTTGTCACAACAAATAATGTCAACATTGCATTTACTGTATTATCATAATTAAACGGACGTAAACGCCATTCACGTGTTTCAACATGTGGCAAATCATCCTGAAACAAATTCTCGAATTATCCAAATGTTAACAAATATTCAAAATCAATTTAACTTTCATGGTTAAATATAAAAGTGATAATTTCGATTCGTTAAGCAGTTTCCTATGATTGACTCTTAAAAAGTGGTAGCTTTCCGGATCCGTTATGGTATCTAATCAGCTATCACGATTCATTGCTGGATGTATTGTCGTAAATGCGATTTTCATCGGAATAGCTACAAAGTATTGTTTCATTTAAATAGCGCATTTTCATTTTAAACAATATCTTCGTTTTTACAAAACTGTTGAAATTAAAATGTTCCGCAAATTGATTTACATATATCAGTAAAACTGAAATGATACGATATCCATGATATATGATCTGGTATATGATATAGCTAATATCAAAATTGATATCTATGATATCATCGAATCAACATTGTTTTGTAATCATATCATTCAGGTATTCCGGAGAAGATTTATCATTTATGACATTATCGATAAAAATCGGAATACCATTGTTGATCTCGGAAGCGATACTTATGATTACACTATACCCGGATGAAACAATTGATACCCTAATTGGTGACGGGGAATTCTTTCGAGAAACATTTGAATCTGAATCTGAGCAAACTTTTGTCAATACCAATACTGCGCATGTAATACATTCACATGGTGATATTCCCGGGAATGGTTTTGGTGATAGCAATTTACGACGTTGAATTTCCATTTTTGCATCTACTTCTTAATCTATTATTTTCTTTTTTCCCTTCACATTTCAATAAATAAATAATTATATGAAAATGCTTCTATAATGTCTTTTGCATTTGCATAAATTTGCTCACTTAGTAAATGATAACAATTATCATTACAATTAGATAAAGATAATGATAATTTTTACTAAACTTAAATAAAGATGTTGCTTCTATCCTCATTTCTTTTTTGTTAAATTATCTTTTTCTATTAGATTAAATGAAAATTACTTATTATCACTAATCAAAACATTTTTTTACCATTTATTTTACTTTTCAATCTTTTGAAAATTTCCTTAATGAAATATTTCATGAGCCTATCTTGATAATGATTTGATTAGTGATAATACATATATAGATCAATTTATTCATCTCATCTATTAGTTCCTCTTCCTACTTCATTATTTGATTATATGCAGAATTACTTATATTACTTTGTATTTCTTCATCGGCACTATTGATAATATCTATTACTATCACAATTTAACTGATATCATTCCAATTGCATAATCAGTAAATTTCATTTTTACAAAATTGTATGATTATTATTACAGTTAAGTAACGATAACACTAACACTTATATAATCAGCGGATAATTTGAATATATCATTCCAAATTACTTATCTTTTGTATTTCTTCATCTGCACTAATGACAATATCTATTATTATCTATTATCAAATTATGGAAATATATATAATAATGAGAAGAAAAAGGGGAAAAAAAAGGAGAAATATCTACCGGACTTTCGAAGACAAAATATTGTCCATGACATTCATTTGCAAAACGTTTCGTTTTATCGGTACAATAGAAAAATTTCCCTTTGAAAAGTTGTACTGCTATTACACCAAAAATAAATTGAAATAACATATAAACAATAAGAATATTGAAAACATTTTTTAACGAATTTACCACACAATCGAATACTGCCTGTAAATAAATAAATCAATATCACCCATTGTATCATCTTATCACCGTATTATCATATCATATAACAATGATTACTTTCATGCAATATAAAAAGGCTAATTTTGATTTGTTTGTATTTTTTAATTATGGCCATTTTTCAAAACTATAATTAAATGATACTAAGCTATGCAAAGGTTATTGGAATTATTTGTGTTTAAAATTAAAACATATCATTCAACGATAATATATGTTAAAATAATTCGTTTTTTTTGAATATAAATAAATTTACTGAAAAGAAATTCAATAATTGTGAGATATTTTATCAATTTAAATTTATAAAATTAAAATTGAAAAAAATTTTTGAAACCTTTAGTTTTGGTATTCGCTTGATTGTTTTAAGTGGCCTTAATACACGTAATACTCTCAATGATTTGATCGTATTTAAATTTTTACCGGCTGAACCTTCAGCTCCACTAAAAACATAAAACAAAATAACTCATTTACTGGAAATGAAATTATAAATTTGTTTTAAAAATATGTAAATTTAAATTTAAAAAAAACATGTTTTTGCTATGAAATGTTGATATTTTAATAATTGAATTTGCAAAAAAAAGAAACTTACGCAAATGAAAAAGCGACAAGGGCACAGAAGACGACGATACCATCTAATAAATTCCAAAAATCACGACAATATGAGCCCGGATGCAGTAATACTCCTTGATCTATCAGCTTGAATATTGATTTTTGATAATTTTAACAGATCAATTATTGCTTATTAGTAAATTAATTAGACAAAGCAATTGTTAGTGTAAATTAGACCAAAAAATAATTAAAGTCCGATCAAATTTAGAATTTCTTCAAGGATAAATGATTGAAACTTGAAATTTTATAGAAATTATGATTAAATATAATGAAATTCAATTTGATATAAGAAAAAAGAAAGGGTAAATTACTTGCATCATCAAATCAGATTGGGCAAATTACTTAAGTTATTAAATTAAAATTAACTAAAATCACTTGTGTCATCAAATCAGAATTAAGCAAATTACTTACGTTATCATATCAGAAATAAGTAAATTACTTACTTCATTAAGCTTAGAGTCGGGTAAATTATTTACCTCATCAAATTAGAATTAAATATTTCTAAAAATTTTTGCTATTATTAAAAATTAATTTTCAGAAATGTTTGATGACCTAAATAATTTATCTAATTTATTGTAAATACTGCAAAAAAAAAAAACCCACTTTAAGGCACATTTCCAAAGCAAAAACACCCGTGAAGCAATAATCCATATATTGAAGCACTTTATTCCGCGGAGCATCCTCATCTACCGGGTCTTCTGCTGAAAGCGCTATACTGGAGAAACATATTACGCCCATTACTAACATTTCGAAATATTTCGTTGATACCACCGAATGTACCAATACACGAAATCTATAAATTTACTATCAAAATTTTGATGAAATTATTAACTGTTAATAGTTAAAAAATTTGATTGGTTGGTATATTAATAGTTCGGAAATTTAATTTAATAATTAGGAAATAACTACTGACAGTTATTAATAGTTAGGAAATTTATTAATTAGAATTAATAGATTAATTAATAGAAAATTTATTAGTTGGGATTAATAGATTAATCAATAGTTAGAAAAATTAATAATCAATTATAATGGAATTTGCTTAACATTGATAATTAATTAATAACTCTAAAATGAATACCAAGAAATTGAAACTATAAATTGAAATGATATGAGTAAACATACGGATTTGTTGGTGCAAAGATAAACATTGATGAGAATGGCACCATAGGTCGTGGACCACCAAATGGGCTCTCTTCTTCCTCATATTCCTCTTAAAAATTTTTCTTTTAATATAATTATTGATTGATTAATTAATTAATTACCGGTGCATATTTTAAAGATCTTCTAAAGATGAAATAATATAGATGTCAAAATTATTTATTTTGCAAATTTGATGAAACTTATATGTTAATCACAAAAATTTACACTATTCTGATTAGTATTAAAAAAAATACCGTCTATTTCATGTTGCATTTCCGATATATTACCATCCGTTTTACCTTCCATATCGATGGCACACTGCTCACTATCCTCAAATTTCCATTATTATGGTATCATTACGGTACATTAGGCTATTTTTAAAAATATTTATTTTACGTTAGTATACCAGATACTGTATAGTACATGATGGCGCAAAAGTTAACAGCTGCAGATTAGAGTGGACGTGCAGTTTTGCACGAATCATTTATATCTACATTAATTGTGTTTAAATTGTAGACGATAGAAAACTACCTGTTCATCAAGACTTTCCGAATCATCCGGCAATTCGTTAGCTCGTTCATCCGCTTCCTCAGCTGCTGTCAATTCTTGCGCATTTGCTAAATTGTCCACAGCAATAGCCAAGAATACATTCAACAAAGTATCTGTAAAATTAATAAAGTTAAATTTTCTCCTCGAAATTGTCCACGCAGTAATTTTTATTCAAATATTTGCGATTTCAAACCTCAAATTTCAATTTCGAATTTATTCACTTACAGTTGCCAAAAAGTACGAGTACAATGAAATATATGCAATACACCATACCGCCACCATATATACCACCCTGTGATTCAATTGCTAAATACATCACTTCATTCCAATCCTCTCCTGTTAATATCTGAAAAATTTTTCAAGAGAAAAATTAGTTTACTCTTTTTGTCACTCTTTTCATTTGTTATTTACTTGGCATTTAATTAATTAATTAATCAATCAATTTATTTAACCAAGAATATAAACATAAAGAAATGAGCCATAACTTTGGAATTAAAAAAGTTCTTGCAAATTTGCAGGAAATAAACCATAATTAAATTAGAATTTTCACTCAGATTTAAGGCAGCTTGAATATTGAGTTAAAAACTCACATAAATTCCTATTAATCAATATTTATTATCCAAAAGAATAAACTTTAGACTCAGTTCTGATATTTTAGATTTTCTATCTTTGTCCAATTCATTACTAATTATCATAAATTTAATCATTCTATCAATAATGCATATCAGTGAATATGTCAGTTTCATTTCAAACAAATTAAATCTTCAATTAGCAAACGATTGATCAGAAGTAAATAAGAATTAACTTATACTAAAAGAAATATTTAATTATATGGCAATACTATTGCATTAGTAATTATTACATTGAATTATGCATGTAAGTTCATTAAAATAATCATATATTTAAGACTTTAACCTGGAAGACTGTAATTAAGGCCACCGGAAATGTATCAAAGTGAGTATACGGATGTCCGGATGGAAAGCTAAATCTGAAATTAAAAAAAGAGATACCAAGAAATTATTCGTCCACCAAATATACCGGTATAATTAATAGTGAACATAAAGAGTCATTATCTTGACCAAGATCACGTGCCTTATCTATTGATCAAGATCACGTGTTTTATCTATTGACCAAGATCACGTGCTTCATCATCTAAACCAAAACTACATGCTTGTTTCCTGATAACCATTCCTTGTTTACAATTATTTCCGGTTTCAATTAGACAATATTTCCTTCATTCTTTTTCCGGAAGTATACGATGATCAGCAATATTCTTTTATTCATTATTTTTGGCTTCTTTGTTTGTCATATTAAAAATAATTTTTAAAAAACGGTAAATGCTTACTTTCCGCCAAACAGTTGCATACCCAATAAGGCAAAAATAAGGATAAATAAGAAAAGGAGGAATAATAATGAGAGAATAGAACGCATTGAATTCATAAGTGAACGTACAAGGTTACGTAAGGATACCCAGTACCTGAATAAGTAACATACAATAAGTACTGATAAAAAAACTTTTCGGATATATTAAAAATTTAGATTTCATTTTGCAAAATATTTGTATGTTGAGATATTAATGCAAATCCATGGCTTCGGTAATGTTTGCATACGGAAGAAAGAAACGGGAAATACGTGACTTATACGTTTGAATACGTGACGTGTACGTTCGTTTAGCAGGTATGCTTTCCATAAATAATATTTCCATCCATTATTTTGTTATTCTCGAGTTTTTCCTTCTTTTCTAAACAAATATGCTTAAGGTAAAAATACTTACGAAGTGAGCTTGAAGATGCGCAATAGTCGTAAGGCTCGAAGTACAGAAATACCAAATGAGCCACCTTTTAATTCTGCCCAAATTATTTCAAAAGCACTACCAACAATGACAATGCAATCGAAACGATTAAATTTTGATGCGAAATAAACACGATGACCCATTGCAAACAATTTAATTAGCATTTCGCATATAAATATCCCCGAAAATACATATTCCGCATATTCTAAAATAATTTAATTGAGATATTTGCGCCAATAAGTTAGCAACATCAGCTTCAGTGGACATTTCCGCTAGTTGATAACTGATGCCAACTGTTTTTTTTTATGAGAAATGATGCATTACAAGAGATTATATATATATTTATACATTTATTTACTTATTTAAAGGCATTTTTAACCATTAAATAATCCGGTGAAACCGGATATTTCGTTTCAGGTTGAAGCAAATATTAGTTTGAACTAATTTTGATGATAGTTTTGGCCTATTATATAAGGAATAAATCAATCCAAAAGCGGTTTTAATTTTTTTGAAAAAAATATTTGTTAATAAAAATAACGTTTTTTTTAAAAGAATTCTTTAACAATATTTTTAAAAAATGATTTAACACTGTTAGCTACGATATCTAAAAATTTGTGAAAAAATTGTCAAAATTAATTTTTTTAAATTTTAAAACATCATAGGATAAAGTGTTAAATCGAAAAAATGTCATACTTAGAAATTCGGTGAACCATTCCGGTTGACCGTAATGCTCTGAAGCAACACATGCAGTATTGAGAAAGACTAATGTTATAACCAACCAATAAAAGACTTGACTTTTTACTATAAGTCGCATTTGAACCCTTCAAAAATGTATTTTATTCGTTAAAATTTTTAGTTTACGAAATTTAATAATGCTAGAATTTAATTTATTTGAAAGATACGAAATCGAAATCATCGATGATTAATTGATTCTCAATTTTACATTCTTATATGAGTAGCTAGGAAAATCTATCATGGATACAATTTCAAATTATTTCATCTTTATTTAAAGATAATTCTTTAATCCTATATCTTATTCTATTTAATTTCTTGGTTATCTTAAATTTATTAATTAAGCTGTGCATATATAAAACAAATGTATAAAGGATAGTTCTCATTAACAATAAATTATTTCCGAATAACGGTTTAATCATGATCATAACTAGTTCAAATTACATCTCTATCATATTTTCAATCAGTTGCAATTATGATATTATCATAATCAACCATAAGCACGATCTTATCATAATCTAAACCAAATTATTCACATATATCGAAAAATTTTCCCTGATGAAGTTTTATATTTTAATTTAGCCAAAATCCAAACCTCATATGTCGTACCTTCTTGCATATTGTTCCCCAAGCAGTTTGTTTTGCTCTTTTACCTTAATTAGTTTTATTTTTACTTTGTGTTTTTGAAAAATTTTTAGTCACATTAGTTCAAATGTATGCACATTAGACAAATACGGTAATTAGCGCAGGTATGCGATGATTCGGGAAATTTGTAAAATAACTATTGGCACATCACAGGTAAGTGTGTGTTAAATAGTTTGTTATTTATTTTGTAAATTTATTAAAAAGTCAAAAATAAAAAATCAAAAGTATATTTAATTTTAAATTAATTCATTTTCATTTGGGATTTCCAATTTAAAATAAATAAATTTAATTTAATTCAAATTGATAATAGAATACCTTCAGTTTCTTCATTCAGGTAATCTTCCTCATCTTCATCCTCATCCTCAACATCCTCTTCTGTTTCGGTACTTTGTCGTTTATTTACTTGTTTCAATTTTTTTGCTGCAGTTCGTCGTCGTGCTACAATGAAATTTTTCAAATTTTTTTTTAATTATTTATTAATTTATTGACAATATAATTAAATATGTGAGCTAACATTGACATTGTACACAAATAACAATGCTATGATATGAATGCAAATTGATAAAGTTTTACTAGTGATAACAAAATATAATATATCTTAATTCTTGATTTCAGAAATTTTTTTTGTTTTCTCAAAATCAAACCTTCCATAATAGCTGCTTTTTCTTCTTCAGTTGTTCGTTCCTCCTTCAGAATTACTTCTTCAGCGGTTAAAATCCATTCCAGATAACCGTTCAATTCACGTTCAATTTGTTGTTGCCTACGTAATTTCAAGAATTCTCGACGATTCTCAACTCTTTCACGTTCTTTCGCAAATTCACTGCAATCGAACAATTACTTTTTTAAAATTTTCAAAATTTGTACATTTTTAAATTATATTATTTGAGCAAATTTTAAAGAAACAGAAAAAAATTTATATAAAAATTAAAATTAAATTTAAAAATTCTAATTTAAAAAAGAACTAATTAATAGAATCATTTGAGGTCAAATGAAGAAACACAGCAAAGTGGTAAAATGCTAACTAAAAGAAAAAACTGAATCTCTTAGCTACGTCTGTGACGTAATGATAATTAACAAAAGTAACTTTGCCTTACTACTATGAGAAAAGAATTGAATCTTGGTTACGTGATGACGTAATGATAATGATTCAAATAACTATGAAATGAAAATCTAACCGAAAACTTTAATAAATCAAAAAGAAAATGACATGAATGTATAAAGAAATAGACTATCCTGAAATCGTCAACTAAGTGAAGATTACTTCACGTACGTGTAAAATTAATTCTCATTCTTATGCATTGAAAAAGAAAGAAAAGAAATGTTTCTAACTCTATTCTGTTTTAGTCTAAAATATTTTAATATGAAGAGAATCAATTACATAAATGGCGACAGTTTTGTTATCAGAACTTTCCTTTCCTTTTTTATTTTTTTCAAGCATAAGGACCAAGACATATCCTAGCATTTGAATATGAATAAATAGAATTAGGCAGTAAATTTAAACAAATCTTAGCTAATACTAACATTATCACCATTGATAAAGCTAGGCTTTGTTAACGAATGGATTGGTGGATGAATGATAATTAATTGATGTAAAAATTTGCAAAATAATCTACTTGAAATGTAAATTTACCCAGACAAGACACCAAGGACCAAATTGAGCATAAAAAAAGAACCAAGAACAATTAGAGGTATAAAATAAGCCCAATTGTATGTACTACCAAGTGAATCATTCGTCTGAAAAATAAATGTTTCTATTTTTTTTTTGGCAAAATATAATTTTTAAATTATGAAATGCATTAATTTCACATATTAGCATATCATGATTAGAAATTACTAATCGATTATATGAATGATCTGAACATTGATCAAATCAAAATTTCATCGTTTACAAATTTAAAAGCTTGTTTTATCATTTTTTTTTCGTCAAATGTTATGTTTGTCGGGAATAAATGAATATTCTAATGTTATAATGTAAGAATTATCACATAATGTAATGTAGGAGTTGTCACATAATTTTCATAAATTTCCATAAATTATTTTTTTGAATTTCAATAATTTCCATTAATTTTTTTTAAAATTTAATAATTTGGTATTGAAACATGTGAAAGTACAAAGATTTAGGCATATGAACAAATCATAATTGATTTTGCAGTCAGTTTAAGATAAAGTTGAAATCAAAATTAAAATTAAATTGAAAATTTTGCACTATTAATTAATGAAATTGTCATGAAGTATCAATCCGTTGACGATTTTCACACTAACAAATGTATGAATTATATGCAAAAATAAATGTCAACATTTACTGTAAAATTGGAAAAGTGGAAATTGTTTATCATGTAGTTATCATGTGTTGTTTGAAAGTTCAAAGTGAACTTTGACTTTTGAATTTATTTTAACTTTCTTCTGTAAATCCATTCAAAAAAAAGAAATAATAAGACGGCACAATATTTAAAACTGTTATAATTTAAGCCTTAAAAAGAAGAAATATAAATAAAACAACTAACATAATACATTACAGTGGTCCATCCCTCCATAGTAATACATTGAAATACAGTAATCATAGCAAATGCAATATTATCAAATGAAGTGATACCATAATTCGGTCCAATCCATTGAGTAAGGCATACAGTACCCTCCACTTCACAGTTATACGCACCCGTTGCTGCTGATTTATTCGAACTATAAATAGTATCATTCAAAAATTAGGGGAAGATAAAAGGAAAGCATTTAATATTTTCAGAGTTAATTAAACATATTGCAATTAATACATCTAAAATAATGTCTAATCATATTTACTTTACTAAGTATCAAATCATTCGTAAATCTTTCTTTTTTCTCAATCATTCGTTTATTTACTTGTTTATTTAATTAATAATTGATATTTTTTATCACTTTATGAAGTAAAAATTAAATTTCAGAACAAAAAAAAAAAACCATGGAGATGGACGATCACTGAGATTTTCAATTTCACCATGGGCATTATAACATGCGGAATGGAATATACCGGAATAAAATTCTAATCCAATAATTGCAAATATAACAATAGCAAAGAGAACTAATAAGCCAATTTGTAACAAAGGCGCCATTGCATACAGTATTGATTTTAGCACCACTTGTAAACCTGTAAAAATTTCGATCAGTCTGAAAGATTTTTAAATTTTAGACATTTCAAGTTATAATTATTAAATGGAACAAAAGAGAATGATTTAACACAATGAATGAAATTTAAAGTTAAAATTTTTAAAATTTCAGATAAATGACTAAAAACGCAGCGAAATTTAAAATGATAACGATGAACGAAATTCTAATAAACATAAAAGTGTAATTAAAAATTTTTGATATTTGAAAACTCCAATTAGAAAAACTACAAAACAAAATTTAGAATTATGCAAAACAAATGAAAATTATATTATAATAGCATTTTATGGGAGTAAAAATACATATTTTTTACTATATTTTCATTACAATTAAATCATTTAAGATTGTAACGGATAATTATTATTACTTGGTATGCCGGAGACAAGTTTGAGTGGCCTGAGGACACGAACAGCTCGAAGTGTCCTCAAATCGACTGAACCTCTTCCTTCGCCATCCGACGGCGTAAAAGGCAACATTGTTACGACACTGAAACTTCCTTAGATCATAAAATATTATGAGTTGGATAAAGAAACCGTTAAATCATTTAGTTGAAATGCTAAGGAAACAATATGATAATTAATTAGCAACAATTAGAGATACAGTAACCAATTACTGTAGAATAAATTATATGACTTGATCATTTTTTAAAGATTATTTTTACCCACTACAATGATATTTTTTAAGATTTAAAAGAAGGTCTCTTAATTTTTTATCTCTTAATTTTTTAACCAGAGCAAGAAATTTCTGATTTTAATTACAATTAGTTTGACCATTTTGAATGATTAGTAAGTAAATCAAATTTGAAATGAATAAAGCAAATAAAAATAATTATATCAAAACAGTTTTTTGAAACTAATCAAATTAAAACACATCAAAACAATTTTTTAAATTATTTTTTAAGTAATTAAAAGAGTTATTTACCCGGAAGCAACAACAATAAAATCCATAATATTCCATCCTGAACGGAGGTATGATCCTTTATGAAGAATAAATCCAAATGCTATCACTTTTAACAAACATTCAAAACAAAAAATTCCCATAAAATATGGCTCTGTATGTTCCTGCAGAAAGAAAAAGAATGGAAATAAAATTTAATTATTGAAATTAAAATATCAAATAAAATCGAAATGATAATAATTAGGAAAATTTGAAATTATTCTATAGATAGAATGTAATGATTCAATCTTTTTCATAGGTAATTTCTTTTCTACGATGACAATCCATCAGGTTTAATATAAATTTCATAATCAGTATCCTGATATCCTGATAATAGTCAATTATCATTATGCTGTTATACAATATAAATAATTAAATACTTCTGTGATAAATTCAGAATTCCAACCATTTATGATAAAAATTACAATTAAAATTTCATGTATTTGAAATTGTAATCAAAAATTACAAAAATATAGTGAGTTATTATACTTTGATAGAAATTTTTGCTAAAGCTACTCTGTGATAAGATTTTTTTGCTATTTTTACTTGATAATAGAAATTTCAGTGATAATTTCTGATTTTTTTATTGGTAAAAAACAGTACACAATTTTTTCAGAATTTTCTTTAAAAATATTCTTCAATTAAAATTTGCACGTAAAAAAATGAAAAAAAATTTGAAAATAAAAAGGAAAAGAAGAAAGAAAAAAGTCAAAGCATTGAAAAAAACCGAAAATTTTTTTAAAAAATCAGAAAAATATTTGGAAAAATATAAAAAATAATTATACAAAAAACCAAAAACATATAAAAACCAAAAAGCGTTAAAAACCTTTAAAAATTACGTTACCTTTAATGATAATATATCTAAATTTGTTTTTCCTTTTATTGTTTTTTCTTAATTACAAAGTTATAAGATGAAAATTAATCCAAAAAAAAATTAAAAATTTCAATCTTTCTTCTTCGGTTTTCTTTTTTAATCCTAACAGATTTAATTTTTAATCTTAAATGATGCATTTCTAACAAAACAAATATATTTTCTATTAAATACTAAAGAAACATAATTTTAATATTTATTTGAAATGAAAAAATTCCGTTTTAATTATTTGCATCGAAAATATAAATTAGAGAAAATAATTTGGAATATAAAATTTAAATTGTCTTTTTCTCTTTTCCAGGATGTATTAAAAACCAAAATTTTCTTTTTGTCTCTTTCTTTTTAATTTTAATCCCTTTTTTTATTTTTTGTATTATTATTTGCATCGAAAATATTAATTATTAAATTTATATGCTATATAAAGATGTTGAAAGATTAGCATTAAATTACATGTTCTTTTAATGAATCTACTAATTAGGCTATTAAGTGGCACTAAAAACTATAAATGTTGAAATGATCGCAGTTGAGGTCATTTCATGACCACTTCAGTTTAACTTTCTTCCAACTTTTTTTCCTTTTTTTAAAATATAAACATTAAAGTGAACATTGAAGGAAGAGAACCAATCAAAGTGATAGAAATTTTGTGAAAATTTTTCCAGAAAAGTTATATGAAAATGAAAAAAACAAAACTTTTAAGTTTCAAAAAAATATGAAAGGAGGAAAATTTTTAAAAATTAGACTATAAAATTTACAAAATAATAAAATCACGCAACAAACTGTAACTTTGCATAATTTATTGATTGTAATTTATTTATTATTTAATTACTTATTGATTGTAATTTATTTATTATTTAATTACAATTTATTGATTTTAATCATGATCAATCCATCGTTCATGGTTAATGTTAAAATTTTATGGTCTAATTAGCAGATATTCCTTAAAGGAATATGTAATTTAGTTTTACAAATTTCCTTTAATCATTTTTACAGTCAAAAGTTTGGAATGCGAGTAAAACTATGTGACATTACTGTCATTAAGATGACATGTTTAAGTTTTATAGTTTACAACACTGTTTTTTTTTAACCAAATTAGCAAACTTAAAAATTTAAAGTGAATGAATTGGAAGAATACCAATTTTAGGTTTAATTTCTATTTTGATATGCAATATACGATTACTGTAATGGCAGTTTCATTATTCACAACAAGTAAATGCTTGAAATAAAAGTTTAAATTATAAAATTAAAATTTTTCTGAAAAAAATTTTAACGATAATTTTTGTCCCAAACAGACAATAACTATCTTTCTTCCTTTCTCTTTCTCTCTCTCTCTTTCTCCTTCTCTCTGTTTCTCCCTCTCCTTCTTTCTCCCTCTCCCTCTTTCTCCCTCTTCCCCTTTCTCCCTACCTCTTTTCCAATTCTTACTTTAATACTATCAAAAAATGACAAAGATTTGTAGAAGAATTTAAACAAAATTACAATTTCAAAATAAACATAATTGATGGATTTTTTTCAATCTTTCGAATTTTTTCCAATAAATTTTTTTTACGATTTAAATTTTTTCGCAAAAAATTATAATTTTATTTAAAAAAATTTTGTCGTAATTTTTTACCATTTATCGCACTTATTTTACTAAAAAAATATAAAATAATTTACTTTAACTTTAATTTTATTTGGAATTCTTTTATTTTAAATTTGTTGAAATGTTTGTTAATTTCTTTTCCATTTCATAATTAAACACATTATTAATTTATCAAAGGCTACTATATAATATTACTTATCATAAGTAATTAATTAATTACCGTTATCGTTCATTTTTTAGTTTTTATTTTCTCTCTCTCTTTTTCTTTCTCCTTCTGTCTTTCACTCTCGCAAGCAATTTCGAAAATAATTTATAGACTACCATAACTTTAAATATAAATTTTCTTGGCTTGCCTTTTTATCTTCTCATTTCTGGCTTGCGTCATACAATCACTATAAATCGTAATAATAAATTGATGATGTTATTTTAGACAAGTAATTCATCCATCTAATGTATAACTTAAAAAATGAGCTCGGAAGATTGAAAATGAGCCTGAAAGATTAAAAATGGACCTTGAAGATCGACCAAAACCAAATTTACAAATTTTTTGCTTTTTTTCATTTTTACCGTAGTTTTTTCGTCTTTTTATTTTGTTAAATGCAAAGAAATGATGTTTGAAATGAAATAATAAATTAAAGGAACAAAATAATAGCAAATAGATTAAAGAAAATAAATAAATTTAAAAAAAAGTTTTTTCTCAAATTTAATACTCTAATTCATGTCCCAGACTAAATCAAAAATTGGAGCAATTCAGTAAATTAAATAATAAGTTGAATGAAATTAGTATTTGTGACAATCCATTGTCACCTTATACTATATCAATCTTTGTTGCTTTTTTTCTCATCTTTTTGTTTCCTTGCCTTATTTCCTGTTTCAAAGTTCTGACACAACTTAATCTAAAATATGAACTACAAGCGAGTAAATGACATTGTTACAATAAATTCATAAATGACATGTCACTGGATCGCAGGACGTCTTATTGAAAATTTTGCGTCAATTTATCAATGTTCAACTTATTTTATGCAAATTAATATCTTCATATGTAACTTTACTGACAACTAGCTAATCCTTTTGTATATTTTCAAAGATTTTCAAAATATATCAAAAAAAAGATCAAATCAATAAATTCGAAAAACACTTTCTCTCTTTCTCTTTCTCTCTCTCTCTTTCTCAAAATTATATGCAAATAAATCAGAAATGATTGTAATTTCTAATGCAAATTGTTGTTTACTTTAAGCAACTTTTCCTCTTTCGTCAGCAAAAATCTCTAAAATCTTTCCGATTTCTTAATATTTCCAATCCTATGAGACTAAATGAGATTCCCGAGAGAATAAAAATTTCTCTCGATTTTTTTTTTTGCTTTTTTTTATCTAAATATAATACGCTCAGAACTTCAAGCATTCATAGCATAAGAAGTGACAATTTCAAAAGTAAAATAAAGGATGAAATTTTGAGAAAGTTTTAGTAAAATTGAAAAAAAATTTTTTTTTCAAATAAATAAAGAAATTTAAATTATATTTTAATTGTAAAAAAACTTACCAAAAAGAAAAGAAATGCACAATAATGTGAGCAAATTTTAAAATTTTTTTGTAAAAATATAATCAAAAATTGTTGAAAATTAGTACAGAAATGACGATAAATAAATAAAACAAATTAAAATAAAAAATTGACAAATATATTTCTGAAAAAAATTAAATCCAATTTCAAATGAACAGAAAAACTGAGGCAAACATTATTAAAATGTAAGGATGCCAAAATAATTTTTAAAACAAAATTATCCTTATAAAATTATTTTTTTCAAAAATTTCAAATTGCCTTTCAAATTGTTTCTGTACAAAATATTGACTGTTCAATTCGAAAATTTTTGATCGCATTAATAATGAGTATGATTTGAAATTTATTTTGATTAAATTGAATTACATTTATATAAAGTCAATTCTTCTGTCCCTCCCACCAATTACATGGCAATCAATATAATCTTTCTTTTTTAATATATCTTTCATTCTTTAATTCATTTATTCGTATTTGACAGATATACAACCATAAAATTAATAATTATACAACTACAAATTAAAATTATGCATTAAGCCATTGCATTTCGTCGTTGGCTTAATTAATAGCTATTGTCGTAGAAAAGGATCATTAATTAATCAACAAACTATTCATACACATTCTTTATCCATTTATATTTCATTACATTTTTAATTGCTACAAGAGCGAGGAAAAGCGGGGCGGGAGTGGGAGAAAAATATAATATGGTCGGGTAAATATTGCTTGATAAATAAAGAAGGCGAAGAAGTATTACTATGAATAGTTAAAGTTATTTACTTATTTAACTGATCAGTTCTTTAATTTTTATTTGACATAAAAAGTGCTTTGTTTTTTCATTTCATTTTTTCTTTTCATTAAAAATCCATCCAAGAAATGGGAAAAGAAGATAGCAAGAAAAAGTTCAAAGGAGTTATTATTTCTTTTTTCATGTTTTATATTAAAAATTATTAATTATTAGAAAAAATTCTAATTTTAATATTTTCCTTCTTTTTTTCTTATAACCTTGAAAGTACTGAAACTGAAAATAATTAAAATATGTGGAAAAGTAAAGTTATTCATAATTTAATCAAACGCATTTTATTCATTTCAATAGATCATTTCTAATTGTGATTGCTCTTTTTTTTTAGCTGAATAAGCAATATTCGCTTAAAATTGTGTGATAAATAGATAATAGTATAATGTAACAATGTAAACAGAAAAAAAAGCAAAAAACGAAAAACTTATCAGTTAATAAATTTTTATCTTTTAATTAAAAGATAAAAATTATAGTTGAAAAAAAAGGACAAAAATTATAGTTCATTACTATCAATAATTAATTTTCAACTATAAAAATTATAGTCGAAAATTAATTATTGATAGTAATGAAATGTATTTAAATAAATCACTGACAATTTAGTTTTCATATATTTTGATCTTTTACTATACTTTTAAAATTATCTGATATGAAAAAAAGAAAACAAATACAAGCATATGAATTTGTTCTTTGAATTAATAAATAAATTTTTACCAAATACAAACTATATTGGAAAAAATTTATAATATTTGAAAAAGAAAAAAGAAGAATCAATCAATAAGACATGTTTTAAACATGTATGATTTTCTTTTAAATATAATTTGCCAAATTGTTCAATTTTTTTTTCTTCAGAATTAATCATGTAATTAAAAAGAAAAACACAAATCAAAGATTTCTTAACTTTAAAAAAAAAAAATTCAATGTTCAAAAAACACAATTAACAAAAAATTTTGCAAAATTTAATTTTACTTTCAAAATTAAATTGTTAGTAAAATATATGAATGAAAAAAATTTTACTAACCAACATTTCGGCAAGTGGCATTTTGTCATTTTTTGGCAGATGTTGTTCCAGGGCAAGTACCACACAATTCCCAATAATCGTAAGAAGGATGAAATATTCGAATGGTCCCCATTCGATGATAGCTTTAGCATTTCGTCGAATGATATTATCCTCACTGAATATAAACAACGATGTTGGACCCTAAAACATACTTTAGCTAATATTAATAATTCCCAAAATTAGCCAAATATATGCTTTTACCATTAGATTTACGCTAATTACACTCTAATTGAACTAATTAAACCATTGATGAAAAAAAGTGCTAAATTATTTTCTAAATCCTTTAATCTTAAATAATCAGTATTTGCATTTTATAAAATATTCAATATTTCTTAGCTTACTTTAAACATTGCAAAAAAAAGAAAAAAAAACTGGCATAATGATTTTATTTTCTTTACCATTAGCCAATTTAAACTAAGTTAAATCGACATTTGCTGATAAATATATTTAAGTCTAATCCTAACATTGATAATTTAAGCAAAGTATGATTTCATTTTTGCAGTTTTACCAGGTTTTTATCAAATTTAGCCGAAAAATGAGCTCACAAAATATTGTAAAATCATTTTATAAATAAAATATTAAAAAAATTATTCCATTTCGTGAGCACATTTTTTATTATTTTAAAATATTTTATATTATTTATTTAATCTTACCAATAAACATTATAAAATATTCATAATACAAAATTAATAATGGAAATCATTTTACATTCATTGACATTTTCTTTCATAAATTTATGAAATGAAATGAATTTCTTCGATTTGTTTTTTCATCATTTATTGCTATAAGTTATTAAAAAATGTGCAAATCCATTTGCAATCATATATTAATTTTATTAAATCACAAATGCCACCAAATAAAAAACTTGATATTCAAATTTTGGAATGCAATCAAGTCTAACATTAAAACAAGTGAAAATACCATTTGCTAAATTCAATCAGTTTTACTGCTTAGAAAAATTCAAAACAAAATTTAAAATATTTGATTAACAAATTCCAAAATTCTCTTTTCCTTTTTTTTTTTTGAGAACACTAATTTAAAACCATTCCTTTAATTCCTTCATCTGATATGCCTAATTTTGATAAATAAAATGACAACAAATTTTAAACATTATTTTGAAGGAACTGATAACAATTAAGGAATTCTTTTTTTAATACAATTTATTACCCATTTACGACGAAGCAATGATTTGTGCTTTCCAATTGTTAATGATTGACTAAAATTTCTGTAAGATTTGATTGTAAAAAAAAAAGAAATCCGATCATTTTCCTTCCCTAAAACAATGGGATTAAAAATTTTGAAAAAATATGAATTTTAATTTTTTATCACAGTAAGTCAGTAATTAACATTAAATATTTCACATTTCTTTTTCAGAAATTTCTTTGTTAATAGCAAATTTTAATGATAAATTCAAATTTTAGCAAACAATAAGAAAGTGCATAAATAATAAAAACTATTGTTGGTTTTGAACAGAAAAAAAAATGAAATTCAAAAAAATCCTATAATATACTTAAAAATTCAAATAAGTAAAAAAAAGTGGCGAGCGATACCTGTAGTAATCGCTTTCATGCTTTTTTGCTAATAAAATTAATCAAAAAATCCAAAGATTTTTTCTCAAAACTTTAAAAAAGGAAGTTTATAAAAACGAATTTTTTATTTTCACTATTTAAATTAATTTAAATTTTATTATTTTGTTTATGATTATGTATTTTGGTGTATGTATCTATGTTTATATTATGAATTTAATAGTTTATAAAGGGATTGCATATTATTCTGAAATTATTTGTTGCATTAATTACTACATTATTAGCCATGCAATTAGCATAAGAAAAAAATGAGGGGAAGAGAAAAAACAACAACAAAATAATAAGAATGCTTTTTGAAAATTGAAACTTTTGAAAATAAGATATGATAATTTTGAATTCGTTTTGAACTACTAATTTGCATACACATCATGTATTTGCTCCATATGCAGTTATAATAATTTTTATGACAATGGAAATTATTTTCATCATTTACCAAAAAGTACGGAAAAACATAACATATGCTGCGAAATATTTTAGCATATATTTTCCGCTTATTATAATTATTAAATAGGACTTGACAATTTTCAATTCATTCATCAAAATGTATGTTATCATTATTATTATTATTATCATTATTATCGTAATCACCACCATCATCATTACTATCACCATCACCATTATTATTGTTACTATTGTCACGACAATCGCCATTATCATCATTATACATAGTCAGGTAGCCAACCACCGGTAATATCATTAATTAATTTTTCTATAATTTCCATTTTTTGTTCCATTTCACTTTTTTCCTTTTCCTTTCCTTCATTTCTTCCTTGCATGTGTAATTTTGAAATTAGAATTTGATAATTGGAAGAATGTTACATTTTATATTTTCAAATTAACCTTTTCTCTTGACGACGAGCTTACTTGTGGTCTTCGTCCAGTTCCAAGAGCAAATCCATCATCCGTTTGATTTTGTTCTTTTTTCGCTTCCTCTGCTGCCAACCTAGCAATTTCATCAATGCCAAGTGTCATCATCGATTTTGTTGTTAGTTTGCTTTTTGCTGATTGTTTACTTTCTAATAAATTAAAAATTCATCGTAATAAAAGTTAATCAATTTTCTTCTGGAAGTACTTCTCAGAACAATCCAAACAGTATTTCTTCCTTTTTTCCCTTTGTTTACTCCTCGAATTGTTAACTGATAATTGATAAGAAAGAGAAAATAAAAAACAAAAACAAATATTTGTGCATATGCACAAAAGATGAGGAAAAAAGCATGCATAAATATGTAACAAATAATTGATAAAGTAAACAATTTATATGAAATTGAAAGAATTGAAATAATTAATTCATATCGAAAAGCTAATAGGTAATAAAATAAATATAATACCAATTAATGTAAAACAATGTAAAATTCTAAATTAAATAAAAATTGTATCCATAATTTTATTTGCATTTATGCACTGTTAGTAATGTTTCGACGAAAAAAAAGCAAATTAGAGAATGAAGATTAGCAAATAAATGAGGGAAGAAAAAAGAATTAGATATTTGTGGGTAATGTCTTTTATCATCAAATGATATAAAAGTACTTTAATAGCAAATAATAGTGCAGAGAATAGTAATTAGGAATAACAATAATTAATAATAGTATTAATGGTAATTAATAATAATATGCAAATAATTTATAAGCGAAAGTATTCGTTAAAAAAGTATATGGGAATAACTGTAGAAGAGGTATGGAAAGTGAAATGAATTAAGTATTGCTCGGAACGGAAAGAATGAAATAAGCAAATAATTCATATCTAAGATTTTAAATTAAACTTACAACCTTTTTTTCATTTTAAAATTTTCACTTTGCAAATTTGAAAGTTGAATTTAGGATTATTTTTTCTTCGGCACTTGTGAATAAATATTACTTGCAATAATGTTGATTGCTTTGAAGCTTTTCCTTTTATTTCCGCTCATTTTGAGGATAACAGTAATAATAATAAAAATTAATAATAATAATATAATAATAATAATAATAATAATAATAATAATAATAATAATAATAACAATAATAGTAATAATAATAATAATAATAATAATAATAGTAATAATAATAA